GTTAAAATTTTGATACACCATACTTTTCTGAACCCCATAGGACGTAATGAATGATCGGTCCCTAATATTGATTCTGTGATTAGTATCAATTCAACGTTCATGACGGTCACCCAAATAATCTGGTAGTTAAACCTACCTTAATCTCTTAAACTATGCCTAATCTTGTGAATTGTGCCTTAATAAATTGTCTTTTGTTGGTTTTGTTGTTTTCTGTACTCTGTCATCAAACACTGTCTTAATGTGCAAATAAATGGGACTTCTTGTAGTTGTGCAGGGGATTTCCAAGTTCCCTACTATCCAAGTTTTGAGGTTTTTTCATGTTCATTGTAGAAGATCTTTCCTCGTGGCCCTCACTGGGAGTTATTTTTACTTTCTCCACTCCTCTGTCTTTCCTTTGCTGTTGCAGTTGTCCTTATGTTCTGATGTCATCTTCTCAGTCTCCTTGAGGTGGGCCTTGTTATAATCTCCTTTCAAAAATGCTTGAAAATTTACAAACAGAATAAATTTTTGATTATGTGGATGTATTTACTTTTGAAGATGCAGGGAGCCAGCCTGGCCTAGCACTTTCCAATCCTCATTCAGCCACTCACATGACAGGGCTAGATGTGGCAGCAGATAGTACTTCACCATCTTGTGCTGGAGGGTTTACTGCAGCTATGGGTGATGATCATGAACCAGAAGTCTTGGACAACCGGCCTCCCAATGGTATGTTGGTTTTGCATGGTAGAATCTTCAGAGACCGTGCAAGGCTGTTACTAAGATTTCAAGTTGCCAAGCTAATACAACAATTTTGCGGGAAATCAACAAGCAGCCAGGGTTTTCTTTTAGTTCTATTTTTCTTTTATTGTTTCATAAAAATTGCAGAGGAGACAGCTTTTTTCATAGTCTAGGCAACATAGAATTTTGTCATTATTGGATTGTCCCGTTGTTTAGTAAAATGTGACTGACAAAATACTAATTTATACTGACAGCAGTAATGAGGGTCCCCTTAATACACCTTAACAAAATTCTTTCATGCTAAAATATTGGGACAAATAAGTGGAAAATGTTTTTCTCACACACTGCTGAGGGCCTGGGTATAAGTCATGTGATCAAAAGGCAGGCAGTTGCTTTAGTTGCATCCACCTTTACTGACCTTCCCACCCACCCACCCCAACATTTCAGTTTTCTAGGCTGTTTAAAATAATGTACATCCTTGTAATTTTTTGTGACAGACATCGCAGCTTTTTAGGGCTATGTTACATGTATACATTTTTATGAATAAATTTATTTGGAATAAAGGTCAGGTTGCGGCAGTCAGCTTGGAATGGCTACCAGTGGTGTGTGAGAGCATACATTTTTTGTTTTTTTTTTGTTGTTTTGGGCGTTGAAGGCTTGGTAATAATGTAAAGTATGATTACACTGTTAGACCCCTAAAGCAACTTACCAGCTATATTTACTTGAAATGATAAATTTAAAGAAATGGGTGAGACAGATTATAAATTTGAGAGATAGAGACTTTAAACTTTCCTATTTTCTGACACAATTTAACAGAATGGATTTTGAGATTCTTATAAGCAGTTATATTGTATTTATTGTGCAATGTATCTATTTCCACTTTCAGGATCAGATAATGATGATGTTGTAAGTGCAGTGGAAACAGATTATGAATCGTCATCAAGTTCAAGCAGTTCAGATGTACATGCACAAAGTACTGTATTTTCATTTTGTTAAGTATTTTTTTTTATAAACCCTTTTCAGTCTGGAAGTTGTTTGGTCTTTTTATTGTCAAATTTGCTTAAAAATACATCATATCGAAGAGTGGTGTGAGCATTTTCAAAAATAAATGTCGTAACATACCTACTGTATCCAGCATACACGCAAGGCACACCAAAGCTCTGGAGAAGCTTTTCCAAAAATTAAGTTTTTTAAAATTTAATATATTATAATTATGATCAGGGCTTGCCCAGGGGTCAGTGGATGTTGAAGTTTTTAAATTGATTAGCACCTGTATGAACTATATACGGTTCAACCAGTGATTTTTGTTACAAATAGTTACACATGTATGGTGAGTCCTTGTACTCATCTTGTGAAAAATTATGAGTCCCAGTCCAGAAACCAATGAGTCGCATGAAGTTAAAAAAAAGACTGAAATAGAAAATGCTTGGGCCTTTATGTAGCCAGACAGTTAATCTGAATTTAGACTCTGTATTACAGTACTCTGAAATTATTGCCTTCTATTTTAAAGCACAACAANTGTGAGAGCATACATTTTTTGTTTTTTTTTTGTTGTTTTGGGCGTTGAAGGCTTGGTAATAATGTAAAGTATGATTACACTGTTAGACCCCTAAAGCAACTTACCAGCTATATTTACTTGAAATGATAAATTTAAAGAAATGGGTGAGACAGATTATAAATTTGAGAGATAGAGACTTTAAACTTTCCTATTTTCTGACACAATTTAACAGAATGGATTTTGAGATTCTTATAAGCAGTTATATTGTATTTATTGTGCAATGTATCTATTTCCACTTTCAGGATCAGATAATGATGATGTTGTAAGTGCAGTGGAAACAGATTATGAATCGTCATCAAGTTCAAGCAGTTCAGATGTACATGCACAAAGTACTGTATTTTCATTTTGTTAAGTATTTTTTTTTATAAACCCTTTTCAGTCTGGAAGTTGTTTGGTCTTTTTATTGTCAAATTTGCTTAAAAATACATCATATCGAAGAGTGGTGTGAGCATTTTCAAAAATAAATGTCGTAACATACCTACTGTATCCAGCATACACGCAAGGCACACCAAAGCTCTGGAGAAGCTTTTCCAAAAATTAAGTTTTTTAAAATTTAATATATTATAATTATGATCAGGGCTTGCCCAGGGGTCAGTGGATGTTGAAGTTTTTAAATTGATTAGCACCTGTATGAACTATATACGGTTCAACCAGTGATTTTTGTTACAAATAGTTACACATGTATGGTGAGTCCTTGTACTCATCTTGTGAAAAATTATGAGTCCCAGTCCAGAAACCAATGAGTCGCATGAAGTTAAAAAAAAGACTGAAATAGAAAATGCTTGGGCCTTTATGTAGCCAGACAGTTAATCTGAATTTAGACTCTGTATTACAGTACTCTGAAATTATTGCCTTCTATTTTAAAGCACAACAAAGGCTAAAAGAGAACCGTGCATCATTTAACCTGCGCAGCAAGGGTTTCCAATCAAGTTATTGTGTGATAGTTTGAGTGGGAGCAAAAAAAAATGGAAGGGGAGAGAAAAGAGGAAACCCTTGCCTGCAAACATATCTCATGATTTTGGAAAAACACCCCTTGATATTTCATGGTTTGGTTCATTTGTAAATTGTCACGTCATCAAGATGGAAGCCAGTATAACGAACAGATTACCAGATTTGTTCTCTAATAAAGCATGCTCCATGCAATTGCAAAAACTGTAATGAAGAAGCTTTACAATAAAAGAAGGTTGAAAATGAGCGATTGCTGCGAAATTTGTTTTTTTTTTTTTGTATAGTTAAGTTAAATTTGAAACATTATATGGCTTTTATCTCACCTGAAACATTGTCACAATGTCGCAAAAAAATTATTTGTCCAGAACAATTAATTCCACCGGCTGTGAGTTTTGCAGAGCAGCTGCTCTATAGCCCATGTCAAAAAGTTCTCTACAATACATTCCGCTAAATTTCCAATAAACAAAAAGGTTCTGTTCATTTGAAAAAGTTGATAAATCGCTTGTCCATGGTGGCTTTAGCTAGTTTCAAGTACTGATGTTCTAATTTAATACACATGTTGATGTTATCTCCAACAAACAGTCTATTTCTTCCAGTCAGATCCACACACCGTCATTTCCAATGAATTGGCCTTCACTAGTCTCCACTGCTTGATCTCCAATATTATTATACTTTGAAGGGGCTCATATCAGATAAACCTTCGCACAAACAAGATTCAAATAAAATCAGTCTAAAGCATTTTTAATCTGAAACCAGATCAGATCAGACCAGATCTGCACAAATGTAAACAAAACATACCTGGTTTGATTGATGTATTTATTACTATTTTAATAATCAACATTACCAGTGCAAGCACTGCACCAATCAGAAGCTGCATTCATGGGTAAACACAGATTTCCAAACTCGTGGGGTTTGCATGCAACCGTTTCCTTCTCTCCCCTCCTAGCTCCTCCCCTGTTATTCCTTTTTTTACTCTCATCCAAACGTTTCTCAACAAACTCGCGTCGAAACACTTTCTATGCAGGCTATGCATCGTTCATCTCAGCCATAATAACTGCCACTGAAAGTACACGAATGGGATATTTGTACAAATTTACACACATGTTTAGATCAATCAATCGATCTTTGCAGCCTATGGGACGCATGCCATGAATTATTTTGCATCTTTGAGAATATTTATGCATCTGGGATGCAGGACACAGAAGTAACAAAATCTCTGTTTAACAAGCTAAGACCTGGGGAAAGGTATTTTCCCAGACATCATCTGGTGTGGAAATTGTGTTGATCAAACTTCTTACAAGTTACCATTATGTTTGAAACATTTTTGCTTTAAAATCCCTGTTAAAGGGACAGGTTCACTGTTCAGCGCATGCTCATTAATAAAATTACTTTTTTCTAATTTATTATTGAATTAGTTAATAATCCCACATACATATCTCAGTAATCTCAGAGTGTATTTTAAGTAGAAGTGTATTTCTGAGTAACCTAAAGTAGGATGGAGGAGTTCTAAAATTGCAGAAAAAATGAGTGGATTATGCCAACACTACCAACGTTGAATTCATTGTTGACCTGAAGGTTTTATACCACAGTTGATTAATTTACAGCTATTTGCACATAAGTTGATCAAGTGACTGCCAGGGGAGTGTGCAGATTGGGTCTTTGACAACATTATGACATGATCATATTGTCTGCATAGATGATACAGCATGTCCTGGCAGATAAACAGCATTTTGAATGATGAGCATGCACTGAACCATGAAACCCTCCCCTCCTGGTA